TATAATAACATGCAAAAAAATGTGCATTTTCGGGGACCAGTAAAAAAATGTGCATTTTCGGGGACTAACTAAAAAACAAGTATAGTTTAAAAAATTACTATAGCCTCAATATAAAATTGATTTTAATTCTTGGAAACCAATAGGTTCACTGCGCTCTGTATCGTAACAAGACAGCATATAACTTATATTTTTAGAAATATTGTAATTTTTTTTTAAATTTTGTTATAAAACATGCAAAAAAATATGTATTTTTGGGGACCAACTAAAAAACAAGTTTAGTTTAAAAAATTACTGTAGCGCTGATTTAAAAATGACTTTAATTCTTGCAAACCAATAGGTTCACTGCGCTCTGTGACATGATAAGACATAGCATAAAATTTATATATTTTCAAACATTGTAATTTTTTTTTAGTTTTATTATAATAACATACAAAAAAGGATGTATATTCGGGGACCAGTAAAAAAATGTGCATTGTCGGGGACCAACTAAAAAACAAGTTTAGTTTAAAAATTATTATAGCGCTGATTTAAAAATGACTTTAATTCTTGCAAACCACTGCGCTATGTGATATTACATGACGTAGTATATAATTTATATTTTTACAAATACTGCAGTTTTTTTTCTTAAACTTTATTATAAAGGCATGCAAAAAATTAGGCATTTATGGGGACCAGTAAAAAAATGTGCATTTTCAAGGACCAACTAAAAAAATAGTTTAGTTTAAAAAATTATTATAGCGCCGATATAAAATTGATTTTAATTCTTGCAAACCAATAGGTTCACTGCGCTCTGACATGACAAGACATAGCATATAATTTATATTTTTACAAATATTGTAATTTTTTAATTTTTTCAATTTTATTATAATAATATGCAAAAAAATATGTATTTTCGAGGACCAATAAAAAAATGTGCATTACTATAGCGCTGATTCGAAAATGATTTTAATTTTTGCAAACCAATAGATTCACTGCGACATGTGGCATAAGAAGACATAGCATGTAACTTATATTTTAACAAATACTGTAACTTAATTCTTAAATTTCATTATAAAACACGCAAAAAAAAATTTTGTTTACGGGGTTATGCAAAAATGTGCTTATTTGGGGACAAAATAAGAAAAATAAAAATTAATTATTTGTTTCTTTATCTACTGCTGATTCAAAAATAACTTTAAATTTTGCAAACCAAAAGATTAACTGTGTTCTGACATATTACAAGACATAAAATGTAATACCTATTTTTACAAATACTATAAATTTACACATTAGCAGCATTTATAAAGACATGTACAAAAATGTGTTTTAAATAAGAAAACACAATACAGATTGAAAAATAACTTACATGGCTTAATTAAAAAACCTAATTTTAAAATTTTACTTAGACTCAAAGTGTTTTGAAAGTAGAGTAAAATAAATGCTAAACAAATAACAAAAATAAAAACTCTTAAACATAATATCACTAACATATATAAAATCATATTAAACAAAATTAATAAAAGTATACCAGCATCTGAAAATGTATTAACATTGCAATTTTAAATAAAAATCAGGAAACTAATTGCTAATTAAAGTAGTTGAAAATAAATAAAACCTTTTAATTTTTTATTAAATTCTATTTATACTTTTCTATAGTTTATGTTATTTGTCATTTAAGTAAATACTATTGTATACCCTTGTAAGTTTACAATTTTCTTGTAACAAATATATTAAAAGGGCTTGCCATTTTATCGGTCTTTATAGATATACAATAAAAAACTAAACTGATTTTATGCAGACATTAACATCATTTGCAAACTAAAAAACCCTGAATAATCAGTAAAATAATCGTTACAATCAATAGAAAGTTTAATTAACAATATAACACGTTTTTCAATTGTCTATTCTTCTGACCATAACATTATTTTAACTATAAAAAATAGCAAACTTGAAGAACTGATTTTTTTTATAATGCTAGCTAGATTTTTTAAAGTTAAATTAAAGATTATGCTAAATAACTTTATTTGTTAAATTTAAATACATACAAAATAAAATCAAATATATATTTTGACATAGGGTTTTAAACGAAGATTTTAATGTATATATTAATCATCAATTTATCTAAAACTTGCACAAACTTCTGCTTTCAACATCATTTATGTTACAAAATGGAATAATAAAAAATCATTGGTTATAAATAAAATTCATTTTTGTTGATTAATATTTACATAAACTAAAATAAAACTTAAGTTGATACAAATAATAATAGACTTAGGCAGATTTTATTATTTTTACACTCTAGAAAAATATTTTTCACTTAAAAACTCTCTTATGGACAGCATTACAGTTAGAAGATACAAAAAAGAAATCATACTTTACTGTCACAAAGATATTATAAATATTTTATTTGTTAAAGATATTTTTAATATTTTATATCATATTTTAATTATAAATACTTTTAGGTTAGTAAAAATTATCTTTACTGACAGTAAAGTATTTATAACTAAAGTAGGATAAAATATATTATATCTTACTAAATAATATATTATAAATAATATATCATAAACATTTTTTTTATATATATTATAAATGTGTGATATGTATCATAAACATCTTTTATAAAAACATCTTAGTGATATTATAAAATCTTGAAGTTTAAGATACTATAATATCATAAGGATTTTAACATTTTACAAAAATAAAAAAATTAAAGTCATGTTGTAATATCTGTAAAGTAGTTATATTTAAAGTCAAAATACAAAAACAACATAAATCAATCCTAATAACATAAAAATAAAGTCAATGTCAAAGTAAAAAAAACATTATCGTTTCCTTTGTTAACATTTTTAAATGCGTTTTTAAATCAAGTTCGCATGTTCGCGTTTGGAAAAAAAACTTTCAAGTGTGAAAACTCATTATATTATAGTTCAATACTTTTTTTAATATTTATTTAATTTTTTTAAGAAGATATAAGAGTTTTCAAAAAAAAAAGTAAGATATATATACATGATACATGCAAAAAATTATTTTCTAGTTTGTCCCCGTAAGTGCACAAACCAATGGATTTCGCTTTTTATTAAATATACATACCCAAAATAGCAAAGCCAATTACTAATGAAAAACAACATTTTAACGACAAATATTAACTTTATAACAATAATAGTATGGTCTACTTTATATACAATGATAATTTAAAGACATTTTAATCGCGCAGAAGTTATAAATCAAGCCTGAAATTAACGGGGACCGATTTATGTCCCCGTAAGCAACCGGTCCCCGCAAACAACACTTTTTTTGCTAAAAAAGTCCCCGCAAGAAAGCATTAGATATATATAAATATATATATGTATATATATATATATATATATATATATATATATATATATATACATATATATAAATATATATATATATATATATGTATATATATATATATATATATATACATATATATATATATATATATATATATATATATATATATATATATATATATATATATATATATATATATATATATATATATATATATATAAATTTAGCCATTAATTCTTTTTCAAGTAGCAATAATTATTATATATATTTAGCCACCAATAATATTAGCACTAATTAACAAATATATTTAGCCACCAATTCTATTTCAAGTAGCAATAATTAACAAAATCATACTAGATTAGCTTTAATATTGTCAGCATTTTTAGATAGAAAAATACAAGCCCTCGCAGAAAACCTTGATTCTTGCATTTCAAAAAATTAAACTGTTTTTCATTTGCATTTCAAAAAATTAAACTGTTTTTATATCGTTGACATTATTTTCGCAAAACACTGCCCTGCCAACCAAAACATATGGGCACCGTATTGGATTTGTCCGGTTATCTGGTATGGGATTTATAAGGGCTAATTTGGCGGGACCGGTCTGGGACCCGTATGGGAAAGCAATAAATTCGACAATTTTTAAATTGATATTTAGGTAGAAATTAAATAAAAAAACTATTAATATTAAATATGGCTAATCATGTAGCGATATTTTAATGAAAAGCGGCTTCATTTAGTTATGTTGTTCTTTTAGTTATGTAATTTTTATGATTAAGTAATAAATAATTAAGGGTTTATTGATATTCAATTTAGGTTATTCTATATGTTTTACAATATATTTGTAATATAACTGTAATATAATATATACAATATATTTGTAATATAATACAATATAATTGTAAAAGTTACACTGCGATGTTATAGAATAATTATTTATATTTGTAAAAGTTACTTTTGAAAATATTTCTATACTAAATAATTTTAGCTGATGCATTATAATTGATAAATTTTTTTTTTTTTGTCAGTTTTTTTTTTTGGATTGCAGACATTTGTAATATAATATTTTAAGTTTCAATTTTGTTGTTAGTTGTTAATTTTATCATAACATTGGTATAAATTTAATATTTATTAATAATAATTAAATTAACGAAAATGCCTTTAATTCTAAAAAACAAATAAAAATTAAAAAAAAAAATTAAATTCAATCAAAAATATTTAAAATGTATAAAAATAAATAAAAATGTCATTACCTGTTTTATATTATGATATATTACTTTATTAAATAACGTTGTTTCCTGCAAATAAATTTAGTGCATTTACTTATGCTGTCTACGTTCCATTCTTTGTTTAAATTACTTGGTATTTAAAAAACGTTTTGCATTTGATACAGCATTTACGATTTAATGCATCATTTTATTTCTTTAAACATGCTGCTTGGCTACGTTTAAAAGCATACTTGGCCAGCTTTAAACTTATATAAGGCTAGACTTGAAAGCATTTATACATATCAGTTTATTTCTCATTGGTTAAGAAATGCTTTTGAAAGAATTTAATGCAGATAAGAACCTTGTTTTTAAGGTTACTATTATTTTTAAATAGTAGCCTTAAAAACAAGTTTATTTGAAAAAAATAATTAAGACTAATTTAAACGTGATAAGGTTAATATTATTTTTGAATTAGTCCTATTTTGTTTTTGTGTTACAGTACAACTATATATGCCATAGTTTTATTTATTGAAACTAATACAACTGATTATGTGCCACTTAATTGGATAAGTGAAGTTAAAATCAATTCACTTCCATCCATTATTGAAAATAAAGTGTCTGTTAAAGTTTATTGACCAAATGGGAAAAATTTAAATCCAACAGGTATTGCAAAGGCTAAAAACAATCTAATTCAAAGGTATGTTATGCTTTTATAATCATACTTTGTTTATACTTTCTTGCAAATAATATTGCAGTTACTATCCAGGTACATCCTCTGTATTAAATGTTAATTGAAATAATCTTTTTATGTATTGCTTTTCAAATTCTTTATAGACAGTCTTAATGAGGCAAGGTCAGAGGCTAAAAGAGCTGAGGACACATCCAACTTGGATATAGCAGAAGAAAATGCATTAAAATCTGTTAGAAGGTAACTTTATTTATGGAATTTTATAACTTAATAAAAAATTATATATCTTTGTATGTGTGTATTTATTTATAAAACTTTTAGATATAAAATGATTAGTTCCTCTGAGAATGAAGAAAAAGAATACAATCAGATTTTACAAAGGTGTTATCAAATTTTATAAAGAATTTGTTGTTTTACAAAGTTTTTATCTTTTATTATTACTGTATCCCAAAAAAGGCATAATGATATTAACTATCCTAATATTTTGTTTATTTTAGAAACTGAAAAAAAACATTCGGCACAAAAAAAGAAAACCGATGCTTTATGTGTTACTTAAGTAGACAAATATCCTCCACCTTTCATTTACAAAGAGCCTCAGAATTTACTGAATCTGTAAGTAACATTGTGCTTGTTATTACTAAGTAATAATATTTTGGGGCTTTTATATTGGTCTACGGATTATGTTAAATATTTTACTTGTTCTTTTGTTGAATACGTCTACTTTTTGTGTGTGTATATATATATATATATATATATATATACAAATATATATATATATATATATATATATACAAATATATATATATATATAATATATATATATATATATATATACAAATATATATATATATATATATATACAAATATATATATATATATATATATATATATATATACAAATTATTTTAAAACAAGATAAACAAATTATATTTAAACAATTTAAAATGTATTCTACAAAAAGAGTGCTCATTGATCTTAAAAGAACAGAGCAATTACAAATTAGTAGAAAATCACATAGCAAAATTTTTTCTCATTTAACACTGTGTTTTATCAATAAACACTCATCAGAAATGAATGATCAAAATAATAAAACTTCTTATTATACCAAAAATTAAATTACAGGAAGTCATATGTCTTAACTACTGCATTTTTTTACACATGTGTAATTTGCTGACACTATTGTAAAAAGAATTCTTTAGAAATGATTACTTAAGCGATTTTAAAAAAGAATATATTTTTTTCAAAGGAAAGTTAATGTAACTGTTATTTGAGCTCACTTATTTTTATAGTTTTTTAGGAGAAACTTATTTTTGTGCCTGCATTAAGAAATCAATTCCGATTTTTTGTTTAAAAATCATTCTTGGTTTAAATGTGTAACTTTTTCAAATTTTTCTTGTAGACATAGTATGCATTTTTTGGAAATATTGTTATATGTAGGCACTATTATAAGGATGGACCAACTCAGTGTAAAATCATCAATATTTTTATCTTTTAATTCCTATATATATTTTGACATCATGGTGTCTTTTGAATACTTTTTATTTTTAAAAGATTGCTTATGATTGGCAAAACGTTTTTACCATTCACCTTCTGTTATGCCAATATATTGTTTATCAGGTACATTCTTAGAGGAAATAACACATTTATATACCACATTTTTTGATAAGCAACTTCCACTCATTGGACAATTGTTTTTTTGTTTACAATTACAATTTTCTGTAGTTTTTTCATTTTGGATTTCTTTTTTGTTTAACAAAGCATTGTTGTGACCTTTTATAATTCTTTCCATATTTTTTGTGTAACTGTAGCTAACTTTAATAGTATTTCGATTAAAAATTTTATGTAATTTATTAGAGGGCGGGAAATGCTTATTGATCAATTTTAAAAACACTTTTCCTATATTTGTGGAAACATTTTTGCTATATGGGGGGTTAAACCAAATTACATGTCTAGTTCTATTTTTTGTATTCTTTTTTTCAGGGTCAAATTTTAATTCAAAGTTTTCAAAATCACTTTTTTGCAACAGTGGAAAAATACCACTGATGTTATAAATTGGTTCACCATAATCGATAATAAAAATGACTGTACATTTATTCAATTTGATAATTATGATTTTTACTCCTCAATAACTGCAGATATTTTAGATAAAAAAAATTGAATTTGCAAAAATCCACACAGTTATTCCTGAAGAAACAATTCGCATAAATAAAACATTGTAGAAAAACCTTACTTTATTTTAATAAGGAAACTTGAAAAAGAAAAACATACATAACTGCTTTGATGTAACAATGGGCAGTTATGATGGAGCAGAAATTTGTGAATTTGTTGGATTATATATTTTAGATTTATTAAGTAAAATAATCAATATAAATGATTTAGGCTTTTATCGCGACGATGGTTTAAAAGTAATGCGTAAAAAATCTGGTCCACAGCATCATACAATTAGAAAAGAAATTATAAAAATTTTTTAAAAATATTGGCTTTTAAATTGAAATAAACATAAATTTAAAAATTGTGAACTTTCTTGATGTCACATTTAACCTCTCGGAAAATACATATAAGCCTTTCAAATAACCAAACGATGAATTGTTGTATATTAATATTAACTTAAATCATCTACCCCTCATTCTAAAACAAAGCCCGATTTCAATTAATAACAGGCTTAACCTAAACTCCTCTAATGAAAATGTATTCAATTCCTGCAAACAGATATTTGAAGATGCCCTTAAAAAAAGTGATTTTGAAAACTTTTAATTAAAATTTGACCCTGAAAAAAAGAATACAAAAAATAGAACTAGACATGTAATTTGGTTTAACCCCCTCATATAGCAAAAATGTTTCCACAAATATAGGAAAAGTGTTTTTAAAATTGATCGATAAGCATTTCCCGCCCTCTAAATTACATATAATTTACATAAATTCATTTATGTAAATAAAATAATTTACAAAAATTACATATAAATTACATAAAATTTTTAAACGAAATACTATTAAAGTTAGCTACAGTTACACAAAAAATATGGAAAGAATTATAAAAGGTCACAACAATGCTTTGTTAAACAAAAAAGAAATCCAAAATGAAAAAACTACAGAAAATTGTAATTGTAAACAAAAAACAATTGTCCAATGAGTGGAAGTTGCTTGTCAAAAAATGTGGTATATAAATGTGTTGTTTCCTCTAAGAATGTACCTGATAAACAACATATTGCATAACAGAAGGTGAATGGTAAAAACGTTTTGCCAATCATAAGCAATCTTTTAAAAATAAAAAGTATTCAAAAGACACCATGATGTCAAAATATATATAGGAATTAAAAGATAAAAATATTGATGATTTTACACTGAATTGGTCCATCCTTAAAAATGTGCCTGCATATAACAATATTTCCAAAAAATGCATACTATGTCTACAAAAAAAAATTAGTTTTTGGTAGTTTAATTTTTGGTATAAATTGAAGTTTTATTAATTTGATCATTCATTTTTGATGAGTCTTTATTGATGAAATACAGTGTTAAATGAGAAAAAATTTTGTAAGTGATTTTCTACTAATTTATATATATATATATATGTATATATATATATATATATATATATATATATACAAAAAGAAAACGTATATATATATATATATATATATATATATATATATATATATATACAAAAAGAAAACGTATATATATATATATATATATACAAAAAGAAAACGTATATATATATATATATATATATATATATATATATATATATATATATATATATATATATATATATATATATATATATATATATGTATATATATATATATATATATATATATATATATATATATATATATATATATATATATGTATATGTATATATATATATATATATATATATATATTAATCCTATTTATGGTTTCAATCTACTGTTGTATTACAATGTATTATACATAACTTCTTTTGCAGGTGTGGAAGTGATGTCGAATTGCGCAATTGTGAATCTGATGGTTTGCCAGCAGCAACACTAGACTTCAAAATAGAAAGGTAGTTATACAATTAACTAATAAATGACTGTATTTAAGGTTTTCATTTATTGTTAACTTGTTTAAAGTTATACCATTGATTTATTTATTGTATTGAGCTCATTTCTTTTCTTGTAGATTTAATAGTTTGACATTAAAATATTCACAATCCTAAAGCATATTGGTGGATTCTGCATTTGTTCAAAACAAATCATCACCAGTTCAAATTGTAATTAATAAAATTTATGTAAGAGACTTAAATTATAACTTAGGGCCCTGCAAATTAATTCCATTTGCAAATTAAGTGATTTACGAATGGACTCGAAAGTGACTCGACTCAAAAAAATTATTCAAGTTTTTTAAATCATTGATCTAAAATAATTTTAATATCACATTAGAAAAATCACTGTATAATTAATCTGCACAATAAGTAAGTTGAAATCCTTTTTTTTTTCGGTAAAAAAAGATGTTTAAGTTTGGTTTTCCTTATATTGCTGATTTGATTCGTGATTCATTTCGATTTGAAAATCATGACCTGTAATGATGTAGTTTATAATAACAATTTAATAAAGGCCTTAAATTTCACAACCAGTATTTTTAACTAAAATTTCATTTTCGAATATTTTTATGTTTTAAAGAGGAAAATTATTCTACTTAGGTGAATCTGTAAGTCTTCAGATGGTTGCTATTCTATTAGCTACTGTAATTAGCAATCAGGAAGATACGAAAACGACCTTAGCTATGCATAGGGCACAAATTCAATCTATCCGTCGCAAATTTGATTTAAACGATCATATCTCTCCATATCTTCAAGAAGATATTCCACTTCCAGCTAAGTCAATGGAAGAAGTGGAAATTGTAGCAAAGAGGCTGGAAAATCCAGGAATAAAGAAAATAGTTGTAAAAATTATTACTTACAAATATATTTTTTAATTTTTATTTAAAGTTTACTTGATAATTAATTTCAGTTGCAAACATAGTTTCATGTTTTTATTCTCTTTTGTAATTTTTTATGTCTTTGCATCACAACTTGCATCAAATTTTTTTAAGGCTAAGCATATTGCTGATATTGGTGGTAAAAGTCTAAGAAATTTTATAATGAGGTCTATGCCCATGCTGCTAGACTGCCTTGTTGCTCGTAGCTTCAATTTGACAGGGCAAAAAAGAAAACTAGCATTTAAAACAAATGCATTTTATTTAGTTAATTGTAATATGTATAAGTTTGGTTTATTTACTTTTGTAAAGCTTATAACTCTACAGAATATAGACATGAATTACGCTGGGCATTTTTCTACAATGCTAAATTTTTCTTTATTTAAAATCTATTTATATAAATCTTGTATAATTTATGCAATGTTTCATTTTGTATAGTTTTAGGGTAATCTCTGTGTGTGTGTTTAAATGATATGCTTCTGTTTTATAAATAGGTGCCGTTAAATTAAATCCTAGCACGAAAAATTGCACGCAAAAGGAAATAAAAAATGAACTTTCAACTTGGTTTGCAAACTCAAGGGATCGTGGAAGTAGTAGTCGTAAAACTGCTAAAGGAGCTATCAACGTTAACTCACCTGAACTAGATGCTGTTTATCTAACTCCTTCAGAAAACTTGGACAAATTTGTTTGACGATATTATTCAGTAAATTTGGGCAAATTTGTGTAACATTATTTTTTTAATTTAAAAATAAATAATGCAAGTTAAATCTCTTGTTGTTGTTTTCTACGTTTCTTGTTATTTCCAAGACTTTAAAGCAGAGGTTAATTGCAAAGTTATCACGAGACTTTTACTTTTTGCAGGCTCCTTTGTTTTCAAATTTCTCTAGTCGTAACCATACGGGCACCATATGTGTAATTTAAATGGGCTGCATACGAGAACCTTATGGTTTTACAGCAGGAAGCCCGTATGGGATCCGTGCAAAACCCATTTGATGATGAGGTTCCCATATTTGTTGGTCGGCTGGGTATTCACTAACTAAGAAACCTGTTATGTAAAAAAATGATGAATAAATCAGAAATTAATATTCAAAAATTAACCACTGATTTATTCAAAACGGCCGAAAACTAGGTAAGACAAGAGTCAAAAATTAAGTTAGACATTAAAATGCAATCTGCTGCCCAATATCACCATAAAAGACTCTAACTAAGTAAAAAGTTTGCCTACTTAAAATCCTCTCTTGGTAAAGATTAAAACTTCTAGAGGAAAAAGTATTTGTCTTTTAAGTTATAAAAGCCAGCATTTCAGATAGTTCTTGAACTTTTGAAGTGAAATTATTTTTTGAAGTGAAATTATTTTTCATTAGCTTGTGCTTCAACGCTGTGATATCACTTACTGACTGACTAAATCTGTACATTTTTTGAGTTCGCCGTCAATCTTAACTTGTTAAGGAAAGCTTGTCATCGACACAAGTTAATATCATGTTGTTAAATGCATACGCAGTGAGTCTCGGTTATGCACTGGCCATGATATTTAAATTTTTAAAAGATTTTAAGAGAAACAATTTGACCTGGTTATCGGTAAAAAAAGCAGCCTCTGGAAGACAATGATCTTTTTATTTAACATTCTGCAACATTGAATAGGTAAGTAACATCAAATTAGCTACACTAAAAATGATTAACGAAATTTTATTTAACTCGCGGCATTTATAACTATTACACAGTTTCACAATTCTTCAAAAAAATGTTGCCCTACACAGAACGTGTAACGGCGAAAGAACAATTTATAATAAAGATCAATTTACTTTTTGGTAAATAATCTGTTATAAAACTAAAATGTTGTTGTTGAAAGAATACATTGAATTAACGTATTTCCATTCAAATTTTATTTTTTGCTTTGGTTTTCTAATCATAAGTTTTTGATACACTACTTAATTAAATTTTACTTATAAAGAGGCTGCATGAATATTACAATCTTTTTATGCTAATCCCAAGTTTGGAGAAAACGGCAAGACATTCTTGATATTTAAGCTAAAACCCTCCAACATCCTCTCTTCTCTCTCTCTACTCTCCCAGCATCAGTTTATTGAAGAGAAAAAGCAACTTGTTTCCTCTATCAATAATAATCAAAATTTGGTCAAAACTTCTTCCATGTGTAAATCCGGTCAAATTTGGTCAAAACTTCTTCCATGTGTAGATCCGGAAACATCTATTTAAAACTACAGCTATAAAGACAACTACCAAAGAGTTTTGGCAACATCTTTACTTCCTAAAAGACTGTTTGCAACCACTCTTAGGTTTAGAAGTTTCTAAAAAAGAAAAAATGGAGAATCACAGTAAATAGATAAGACTTGATTGGTTTACGATGTTTATAGTGCGTTTTTACTCTGTTTCTAAAATGAAGTAGTATCATCCTAAATAAGTCTATACTTTTCATTAATACATAGTCATCTAAGCAATGGTAACATGGCTTGGGCAAGTATAAATTTTACTAAGCTTTAAAAACTCTACAGAAAATAAAAACATGCCTGAAGAATTGTCTTTAAAGTAAGAAAAAAGGTGTTTTATGAACCTCTATTATGCAAACTTAGAGCGTGAAATTTATAAAAAATTAACATACATTTTGTTTTATAGTTTAGGTACAAAATAAAATATGAGCTCCGCAGATATTTTAACCCTAATTTAGCAAAATAAGTCATAAATTCCTAACTAGATTCTCATATGACAACTTTGTCATCCCAAACTTTACATTAAAGTTAAATTCATACACTGTAGACTTTATTTGTGGAAATTTTTTCCCTAGATTTTTCCAACAAAAGGAAGTAAACTTGAACCATTTAAATCTGAATGAGAGCCTTTCATTTACCTGCGGTTTAAAATTTTCTTTTCTTTTAAAATTTAAAAGTATAAAGTAGCACAATTCATTTCATTTATTTGCTTTTACTATTATTTGCTCTAAATTTATTTTAAGAAACAAATTTATATATTAACAGTTATATCAATTGTGAAACGTAGTTTTACGCAATTTTAATTTTATTTTATCATAAGCATTCATCACAGTTTAATATATTTTATTGTATAAAAAGACCTGTAATGAAGCCACAATCGGGTTCGGTGATAAAACAAACTTATGTCTTCTTCTTGTCTTCATCCATTTGTTTTATTATTTATGTTATTTTATAAATTATAACTTTTTACGGAAAAATGTTTAAAAAATCAAAATATCACTTCCACACCCCCCTTTCCCCAAGTATTCCATGCAACGATGGATTATAAATATACAGAGAAAACAAAAAAGAAATTAGGAGTGAGAAAGTAGCGAGCACAATAAACAGATGCAACCTTAGCAGATGGTAAATTTATAATAAACTTTTAATATGATTTCCGAGAAAGATCAAAAAAGTTAATCCATGGAGATGAAGGGTAGATGGTTGTCGAGTACATAACCATTCATAAATATATGAAGATGTAAATAATTGCAATAAAGATAAGCTAAAAAAGCTTAGTTTTACTTGAGTTAAAGATCACCACACACTAAATGCCCAATGCTATCATAGAAGTGAAATACAGTTCAAGCTTAAATAATCCCTCCAAGTAGACATAGAGTGTTGGCTTCTGATCAAGACTAGAATGGTAATGTGATCAGGAAATAATGCATAACTAAATGCGAAAATTACTGGGAACTGTTGCCATACAGGAATTTGTAACTTATGAAGTTACAAATTCCTGTATAGCAACAGTTATACAGCTGATATTATATTTAAAAAAGTTGAAATTGGAAATATGTAATATTTTTTTACTATTGAATTACCTTAACTTTAGTTTTAAATTGTTCGCAAATAAACTTCAATGACGGTCCCAAATAAAGGAAGGAGAGTAGGTAGGGCTGAAAATTGGGACTATGGAACCCCTCTTTCCGCAGCATTCCTAAAAAAAATTTTTGAATTTAAAGCTAACCCACAAATATTTTTGCAACTTTCACTATTCGTAAAAAAAGAAACAAAAATTTTTTGATCATGATAAAATAACGTTTTTTTTTTTCTTAAAGAAACATTTATAGTAAAAAGATGCAAGTTATCTGAATAAAACAAATAACATAAAATTGAGTTTTGGTTGATACAACAAATTAGTTCTCTTGAGCAGCAACAATGATTTGATTTAAAGTTTATGTTCACCATTATTTGTAAAAATGAAAATAAATTACAACTTAACAACAATGGGAAAGTGTTTTAAGCTTTGCAGCAAGAAAAGGAAGCATTAGAACAACGAGTTGAAAAATTAAACCAGTATTCCATGCAAGGATAAGTATTAAACTTATAGAAGAAGAGAATGGAAATACAAGTTAAAATATGGCAAAGACGAATAAAAGAAAAAAGCTTTAAATATATATATATATATATATATATATATATATATATATATATATATATATATATATATATATATATATATATATATATATATATATATATATATATATATATATATATATTTTCTCTGTATCACCCGCTAGTAAATTACAGGTAAAATATTATTTAAATAGTCAAACAATAAATTAAAAATCAGCTAAAACAAAGGATTTTTTATTCTGTGTTTCCTGTATTTGATTAATTATCAGTGAGTAACAAGTTTGATTTTTTAGCAGTCTGGTAAAAAGATTAACTTTGTTTCCTAAGGAGAATAGTTGAGATATCTTCTATTTTAAAAAAAGAATAAAGGTAATTTTTACTGTACTTTGAAATACAAAAAAATGTTTTTATAACTGCTCTTCCAACAGCGTCTATTTTGCTGAGAAAATCAGTATCATATTTACATAGTTCAAGACCATATATAAGCACTGTTAATGTATTGTACAGATGAACAATTGTTGATGGCTGGCAGTAACGAATCCCACTGTCAATTAAAGCTTTTGCAACTGATTGAAGCTGAGTTATACGCTCATTTAAATTTTTCTTTCGGAGTGTTGTAATTTTATTTTTGCTGGTATCGTTATCCCATTGGAAACCCAGATGTTTTAATTTATTTTGAAGATATATAGGAACTCCATGAATTTTAACAACGTTGTTAAGAATATAACTTTTTCCAGAAATTAGGAATTCTGTTTTCTCAGTGTTTAGCTTGATTAAGTTTGCTACTCCATATGTTTGAAATCTGTTAATCAGTTTCAGCAGACCAGAGATTGTGAGGCTTAGCAAAATTACATCATCTGCGTATGCAATTACACCAGTATAAATTCCATTTATTGTCGATCCTACTTTACATTCTAAGACAATTTCATTTAGGATGCTTTCAGTATAAATGTTATATAAATGCGGCGATAGAATAGACCCTTAACGCACCCCTTGTGATAGACTGAATTGATTTAAGGTAACATCTTGATAGGAATTGTTTGCAGAAACAGAATGATAAAGAGATGATATTGTGTGTACTACAGACACAGGAAGTTTTTTTTGGAAGTACAGCTTTTCAAATAGCAAATCCCAGTTGCAAGTATCAAAAGCTTTATTAGCATCTAAACTGCACATATATAAAGGCGTGTTATTGTTTTTATAGTGCTTAACAGTTTAGCTCAGTAAAAACTCTGCGTGGAAACCAAATTGATGGGAATGGCTATCTGTTATACTAGGACATATTCGTAGTATTAGATACTCTAGAAGTTTAGTAAAGATAGGTAAAATACTAATTCCTCGATAATTATCTGGATTATTAAGAGATTTTTATTTAATTTAATTTAATTTTTTATAGTTCTTTATGATTTTTTTAATGATTT